TCTCTCTCTCTCTCTCTCACACAAGCTCACATGTACATTCATACTATAGTATTGAAAGGAGAAAGAGGGGACTAAATGCTCTTAATGCCTTAAAAGAAGGCAGTCTTAGAGATTCTGGGTGGGAAAGCTTTGTAAGAGAACCATTTGTGGGTTCCTGTGCTGTCAGTGGCCTTTTCAAATTACTGAAGAGCAATGAAATCACTTTGAAGACTAATGTGTGCTTGATTGAGGTCATGGTATTTCCAATCACTTGCTATGCATCTGAGAGCTAGACAGTGGATAAAGATAACAGAAGAAAAATTTATCCCTTTGAGCTGTGATGTTTTAGAAGAGTATGGAATATTCCACGTACTGACAGAAATAGATGTGTCTTGGAAAGACTGCAGCCAGAATATCCCTTGGAGTTAAGGATGCCAGCGTTTCATTTCACATACTTTGGGCATGTTGCTGACAGAGGTTATTTTTTGGAGAAAGACAATATCCTTGGAAAGGTGGAGGTTTAGTGAAAGAATGGAAGACCTTTGGCAAGATAGATTGATGCTATGACTGCAGCAATGTGCAAAAGTGTGTCAGAGACAATGAAAATGGGACAAGATAGGACAGGGTTCAGATTTGTTGTTCATACAATTGCTATGAGTTATAGTTGACTCAAGGGCACATAACAACACCTTGGAGAAACAAGTCAATGAGCCTTCCTCATATAAGCTGTCTTCTCACGAATCCTAAGTCTTACCTTGTATTTTTCAGGTATGAAGTCACATGGAGGCATCTGAGGTTTTGTGTGAAGACTAAGCTTGGTTCCACATGTCCAGAGTGCACCTATTAAAAATGAAGTGAGTTAGTGTCCTCAACTAAACATTCTATATGTCTGTTTGTAAAAATTACCAGAAGGTCTCTGGACCAAGGTGCATAGACAATTTTGTTTATTCAGTTTTAACAATAAAAGTAAAATTAGTCTTCATCTTAGATTCAAAGCAGAAATAATTCAGAAACTAATTTTCTGGAGAAGAAAAGATTAGTTCCTTTAGAATCTGGTAAGGAAAGTTAAAGAGGATGTTAGAGAAAGTCAGAGATTCCCCTTGATAGTTCTGTACAATTTTGATAAGCTCAAGTCTGGAAACCTCCCTGAACTACAATTTTCTCTTTGGTTTCAAAGCTTATTTCAAAACTATGCAGATGACACAACCCTGCTTGCTGAAACTGAAGAGGACCTGAAGCACCTGCTGCAGAGGGTCAAAGACTGCAGCCTCCAATATGGATTGAGGCTCAATGTTAAGAAGACAAAGATTCTCACCACTGGACCAATTGGCAGCATCAGGATGGATGGTGAAAAGATTGAGATTGTAC